CCAGTGTGTACTCACAGAGCAGATGTTTTTATAAACACAGGCCGGGAAAGCCAGAAGCACACAGGGCCCACTCCTTGTATGCTTGACTGTTACATCATCCTTTGACGTCGCTAACGACTGAGATGATGCTGGACGGTTTTATATTGTGTCACAGAGGACTGGCAGCACGAGACGTGAATGCTTGTGAGAGTGGTCTGTCAGAGGCGGGCTCTGGCCTGATCTATTAGGACTACACAGGGGTACTGTGGGGGATAAGGATGATTCAAAGGGCCCCTGAGTAACAGGAGGCCCCTAAAATATTTGGAGCAAAATTGGATTGGTCTGGGTTGGGATTCTAATGTGATATGGGGCCTGAAATCTCTAGCGGTGCCCTTGGGACCGTATGTCAGCAAAAGGGCCAGCAGGCCTGTTACTCAATGTTCTCAGGAAACGAACCGGCCTTTGGAATGCAAGGAGCAGTTTGTCTGTCGTGCACATGCTTGTTATTAGGAGTAAGACATCAGAACACACCTAGCTGCCGGTCAACTGTGAGGCGCAAAAATAAAACCTTTATTAGGGTGGGCTGCTGTCACCATGTTAGTAGCGTTGGAGTCACTTCACTTCAGGCTGTCCACCCCCCCCCCCCCTCCCCAAAGGGCATTGTGTGTAGGAGATAGCCACACTCTATGGGGTATGTAGTTTAGCTTCCTGCCTTAATATAAAACGCCAGCCTTCCTGTCTAAACTAGCCGGTCTGCCAAAATACATCAGCCTTCTCTCGGGCTTGGCCAGTACATGTACAGATAGTCAAATAAACTTCAGTTCATCAAACAAAACAATAAAAAGTGAAAATGTTTGCCCGTGTAAAGCTTTAGCTGCACATGTCCACACACGTGTCCCCCTCCTCAGGCTAGGCCCCGTCAACAAAATCATTACAAAGTCGTTTTGGCTGATGAGCTTTCAGCTGTTCGAAATGCATGAACAGGGAGAAATCAATCTACTTGCCACTGCATGTCATTTAATAGGCAAATTTTCAGCTGTTACTCAAGCGTATCAGCGATGTCATAACAGTTTGTATATCTTCAGCTGTCTGAGTAATTGTCTTGCTTGGAAGATTTATAAATTAAGGCAAATGTTTTTTACTCACATGTTTTCTTTGTGAGTAGGTATTGCCAGGGAGAATTAAACAGGCCACTAATTGCAGTTGATTAAAGTTTCTCAGAACATCTATCAGAGAACTTACCATTGTTAGCTTGCATAAGTTAATATTTAAGTTGGCATTTACTGTGAAGGCCTCCCATCCAGGGTGCAGCCCAGCCTTGTTCCTTGTGCTGCCTGGGATTGGATCCCCTCGGTAACCCTAGCTAGGATAAGTGGCTGCAGGTTGGATGTATGGGCAGATGCATAATGGTCATTTACTAATTTAGACACATAGGTAATCTTAACCTGCTTTCCCACTTCTGAGGTCGACCACATACTCAGACTGAAGCTCCTGTTTTGAAGGAGACTCCCCAGGGGCTGAGGTCCCTCTCTTATTTGAGTGGCAGATCCCTGCTGTCTATTGTTACTGCAAAGTGAGTTTTCAGCTGTCCTATGAAAGGTATTACTGTCATTTCATATGTGCAGGAGTTTTCCCCATAGAAATGAATGGAGAGTCGCCTCAAAGGTATAATTACAAACCTGTGTGTGTGTGTGTGTGTGTGTGTCATGGGGGAGGAGATACATCCTCACTCCAGAATCTACTGCCTGTGATCTCTACATTTTCTCAGCTGTGAACAACCTGCCAGACATGACAGTGGGAAATAAAGATGCCTTTTGTGTTTTGGTTTATCCTGCAGGTGGAAATGGTTGAATGAAGCACATGAAACACAAAAATACACGTTTATAATGTATTATGGTACCTAGCCAATGAGCCACCCATCAGAGGGACACCATGTGCTAACGTGCTATAACCTTCATCTCCTCCGTGTTGCAGTCATACATCTGTATGGGTCACAATCGCAGCACTGACCAAACACAGTAACCTCTCACATGCTATTGACTGCAGTTGTTTGAGAGAAAGGCAGACAGGCTCTCTTGTGGCCCCCATCCTCACTGACCTACATCACAGGAGCTCCTGCCAACATTGCATCAGGGCAGAGGGAAGTGTCAAGGCAACGTACATGTATGCCATTTCATTTGCTTGTGCATACTGTATATGTCTGAGTGTATAATGTACACTTGTGAGTGTATACTGTACATGTGTGTGTGCTGTAAACGTGTGAGTGTATACTGTACATGTGTGTGCTGTAAACGTGTGAGTGTATACTGTACATGTGTGTGCTGTATACGTGTGAGTGTATACTGTACGTGTGTGTGTGCTGTACACTTGTGAGTGTATACTGTACGTGTGTGTGCTGTACAGTTGTGAGTGTATACTGTACATGTGTGTGCTGTATACGTGTGAGTGTATACTGTAGATGTGTGTGTGCTGTACACTTGTGAGTGTATACTGTACGTGTGTGTGCTGTACAGTTGTGAGTGTATACTGTCCTTGTGTGTGTGCTGTATACTTGTGAGTGTATACTGTACGTGTGTGTGTGCTGTACAGTTGTGAGTGTATACTGTACGTGTGTGTGTGCTGTATACTT